AGCAGGAACCATATTCTGCCCCCCTCTGGCCTCCAAGGCATGGTACTCCTTGCCATTGTTGTTCTCCTCAAAAAACACTTTAAACCACTGCAGGAAGGTCTGAGCCACCGCACAGTTCCTCTTAATCAGCGCCTCGATGGGGATGTGCTGGTGTGAAAATGAATAAATGATGGCATAAATAAGAAAATATTTTCACCAAAAAATGAAAAGACACAAAAAAATTCGACTGTAACAGTGGGTTCTACTAGGTGAAACTATTTTAAATATTTAGTTTAGTTTAAAAGATCTGATAGAGATATGCTGAAAGATATTACGCTTTTAAGAAACATAGGACATACAGTATATCACAGAAGTGAGTACACCCCCTCACATTTTGTAAATATTTAAGTATATCCTTTCATGTGACAACACTGAAGAAATGGCACATGGCTACAATGTAAAGTAGTGAGTATACAGCTTTTATAACAGTGTAAATGTGCTGTCCCCTCAAAATAACGCAACACACAGCCATTAATGTCTAAACTGCTGGCAACAAAAGTGAGTACACCCCTAAGTGATAATGGCCAAATGGGGCCCAAGTAGCCGTCTTCCCTCCCTGGTGTCATGTGACTCGTTAGTGGTACAAGGTCTCAGGTGTGAAGGAGGAGCAGGTGTGTTAAATTTAGTGTTATCACTCTCACTCTCTCATACTAGTCGCTGGACGTTCAACATGGCACCTCATGGCAATGAACTCTCTGAGGATCTGAAAAAACGAATTGTTGCTCTACATAAAGATGGCCTAGGCTATAAGAAGATTGCCAAGACCCTGAAACTGAGCTGCAGCACAGTGGCCAGGAGCATACAGCGGTTTAACAGGACAGGTTCCACTCAGAACAGGCCTCGCTGTGGTCGACCAAGGAAGTTGTGTGCCCGTGCTCAGCGTCATATCCAGAGGATGGCTTTGGGAAATAGGCGTATGAGTGCTGCCAGCATTGCTGCAGAGGTTGAAGGGGTGGGGGGTCAGCCTGTCAGCGCTCAGACCATACGCCGCACGCTGCATCAAATTGGTCTGCAAGGCTGTCGTCCCAGAAGGAAGCCTCTTCTAAAGATGATGCACAAGAAAGCCCGCAAACGGTTTGCTGCAGACAAGCAGACTAAGGATATGGATTTCTGGAACCATGTCCTGTGGTCCGATGAGACCAAGATAAACTTATTTGGTTCAGATGGTGTCAAGTGTGTGTGGCGGCAACCAGGTGAAGAGTACAAAGACAAGTGTGTCTTGCCTACAGTCAAGTATGGTGGTGGGAATGTCATGGTCTGGGGCTGCATGAGTGCTGCCGGCACTGGGGAGCTACAGTTCATTGAGGGAACCATGAATGCCAACATGTACTGTGACATACTGAAGCAGAGCATGATTCCTTCCCTTTGGAGACTGGGTCGCAGGGCAGTATTCCAACACGATAACGACCCCAAACACACCTCCAAAATGACCACTGCCTTGTTAAAGAAGCTAAGGGTAAAGGTGATGGACTGGCCAAGCATGTCTCCAGACCTAAACCCTATTGAGCATCTGTGGGGCATCCTGAAACGGAAGGTGGAGGTGCGCAAGGTCTCTAACATCCACCAGCTCCGTGACGTCATCATGGAGGAGTGGAAGAGGATTCCAGTGGCAACCTGTGAAGCTCTGGTGAACTCTATGCCCAAGAGGGTTAAGGCAGTGCTGGAAAATAATGGTGGCCACACAAAATATTGACACTTTGGGCCCCATTTGGCCATTATCACTTAGGGGTGTACTCACTTTTGTTGCCAGCAGTTTAGACATTAATGGCTGTGTGTTGCGTTATTTTGAGGGAACAGCACATTTACACTGTTATACAAGCTGCAGACTCACTACTTTACATTGTAGCCAAGTGTCATTTCTTCAGTGCTGTCACATGAAAGGATATACTTAAATATTTACAAAATGTGAGGGGGTGTACTCACTTCTGTGATATACTGTAGTAAGAAAACACTGATATGAATCACTTACATTTGATTTGTTTTCAATTGTGAGCAACATACTTATGTACTGGGTGGGACACTTAATTAACTTTGCAGTGCCCTCTGGGTGACAAACGTGGTGGAGACACTTTCTAAACTACCTCAACATTATCTTCACCATTTCTATACTGGAATTTCCTCGTCACTCAATATGTTCACCGATACTGGAATATTCACAATGTACTAATATATGGCTAATTTATTAGTTTGTGTCTAAACAGTACAGAGCAAATCAAACATTTTCAGAATTACTGGTCTATAACTGCTTTTATAAAAATACTCACTCGGACCACCCCAACTTTTCTGAATGCGGCTTGCAGTAGACTGTAGTTGTGGATAGTGTCCACCATGTTAGTGCTTTGGAACCTGACCCTGGAAAGGTCCAGGGACTGAGGAAACATCCAGTGTGTCAGCTGGCAAAAGGCTGCACCTGAATATTCACACAAAATCATACATAACCACATAAAAGTAATCAACACATGGAACTGGTGACATGTAGACCTGCTTTGAAAATATAAGACTTAAGGGCTTGAGACCAAGTCAATTCAATTCAATTTTCTTTTATTTGTATAGTGCCAAATCACAACAAAAGTCAACTCAGGACACTTTATGAAGTAAGGTCTAGCCCTTACTATTATTATTGTTATAGAGAAAAACCCAACAAATCCTCCTTAAACAAGCATTTGGTGACACTGGGGAGGAAAAACTCCCTTTAAAGGTCTAACTTCCAGCAGACAGTTCTTGGTGGGTGGCCTTCTGTCTCATCAAGACCAAGACTAGATCAGTGCAGTTAAACTGAATTTGATAGTTTGATAGTGTTTCAGTGGCACTAATGACACTATATAGGAGTGACATTATTGAATATATTTCCTAATAAATAACAATAATAAATCCCCAACATTATGCAAAAAGTGTCTTAGTATAACCAACAGGAGGCCCCTGCTTGCCGGTTTGAATTTGACTGTAGGCCTACTACACTATATAAGAGGCTTTTAATTTAAGTTAAGTGCCCATGGCATGCTCATTTCCAGCCATTTAATGTTTAATCTTGGAAACCTATAGATTAGCTTTGAACCCATCACAACTCCAAACAGCCTGTAATTATTTCAGAATGATAAAACCTGACAGCTTCTTCCTAAATAAAAGAGGATAGTTTGTGAACACACACAACTCCTGCTGCTGGTGAGGAAGCTACATCAATGCACAAACAAAAAAAACTGACAAATAGGCCATGTTTTCAACAATGGCCTCAACTCCTGCCTGACATGTTCGAGCCAGAATATGAAAGTCGACAGCATGACAAACTGCAACAGCATTAATAAATTTGAATTTCTCCTCCACAGATGGGTAAACAACAGTATACGTATGTACCGATGAGGAGAGATTTGTAACTCTAAATAAAGTGGGTAATTGAGAACGCCCATATTTTAGCCCATGGAAGACCTGTACACCTGTCAAAAGGAGGGCGGAGAGGATAACTGCAGACCCCTCACACCCGAAACACAATCTGTTTGAACTCCTCCCCTCTGGACGGCGTTACAGGTCACTGAACGCCAAGACAACCAGGCACAGGGACAGTTTTTTCCCCCAGGCCGTCATTCTGATGAACATTTAACCCACGACAGTATGACTGGACGATAACCCTCAGTGCAATACCTGTAAATATACATTGTACAGATTATACAGATCGTACAGGTCTCTATTTTTAAGTAATCTATTTTTATTCCTATTTATCTCATTTCACAATGAGCATTCCTTTGTCTGTCTGCATTGTTTACTGCCTGTTTATACTGCTTATTTTGCATAGTTTGCACTGTTTGTTGCTTGTTAATACTGCTTATTTTGTTATATTAGGACTGAGAAGATCACCAGGACTCCACTGCCCTCTCTGCTGAGTATTTACCACCGCAGGGTACGGAGGAGAGCTGCCTCCATCCTCCAAGATCCCGCCCACCCCCAGCATGGACTGGTCACGCCCCTACCCTCTGGTCGGAGGTTCAGAAGTGTGAAATGCAGGACCTCTAGACTGAAAAACTCTTTCTTTCCCTCTGCCATCAGACTCCTAAACACCTGTCAGGAGTTTATTACCAGGAAATACATCATGTAATGACATACTGACGACCTGTACTGTTTACATTCTCTGTTTGCACATGCATAATTGCACATTTACTGTTGACTAGTGCACATACAGCTCCCATGTAGCATACATTCTCTTATTATATTCTTATAAATTTTTATTATATCTTTTCCTTTGCTGCTTTAAAGTGCCTTAGATTTTGTGTTACTTATTTATCTACTTTATATTTCACTTGTATTGTGTGGCATTCATGTGGACGGCAAAGTAAGAATTTCATTGTACAGGGAAACGCATTTCCGTACTGTGCATATGACAACAAACACTTTGACTTGACTTTGACTATTACACAGCCTTATGCTGGTTTATTTTTTACTTGCCCCTTGCATGGGGGTATGTACATACACATTGAGAGCTGATGTACCAGAGTCAAATTCCTTGTGTGTCCAACACACCTGGCCGATAAAGCAGATTCTGATTCTGACTTTAACTGGCATAATGCAAATATAGCAACTTCTCCAGCTTTACGACTATTCTTTCTAATGTGGGAGACCAATGGGGTTAAAGGATTAGAGAAAGTTTTATTCTGATGCTTGTCATCTTTAGATGTGTTTAAGTAATTTTCAGTTATTATATTATAGTTCTTCAGCCTTACGACAATTCTCTCTAACATTATAAAAACAATGCATTAACAGACTTGCAATGTGTGTTCTTTAAAACTTACCGTTATGGTAAGTAAACAGGTAGCATTGCACCGCTAGTAACATCATGGATTGTGAGAATCCTCTCACACACCACATGCGGCAGACACACTGGCAAGCCAGTACTATCCATCCATCGATTATCTATACCACTTATGTTGAACAGGGTCATGGGGGTCTGGAGCAAATCCCAGCTGACAGTGGGTAAAAGGCGGGGTCCACCCTGGACAGGTCACCAGTACAACCTTTGAGCTTAATTATATTAGTAACCCACATAGACTGTATATAAAAACTGATGATATATCAACACTTCCTGCCACAATATAAAAGTGAAGCCAATATATTGGGAATACGGGGGTGGCCATCTTGGTTTTCCTGTGACATTCTGCAACTAAATTCTGCATAGCAGTAACATGAGGTGATGCTGCGGGATCAGGCTGCCAATCAGCTGACAAATCATCAAAATACACCACTTTTTATGTCATCAATAACTTATTCAAAACAAATGTGAGGAAAATGAGCAATTGTACACAAATCATTGTGATAGTATCTACCTAAAATGGTGCGACTTGGTGTGATGTTGTCCATCTTTATGTACAGGCTATGGTAACACACACACAGTAAACACATACACACACACATTACCTGTGCATACCTGCTCCACCTTGGTGAAGCCTGTCTGCAAATTTTCATTGAGCCAAGCCAGCAGCTCATAGTGATTGTGTGAATGCCCTGCATTCAGTGTTCCATTCACTGCCATCTCCCCAAGAGACAGACCTGCACAAACACCACACAGATATATGTTTACATAAGAGTGAGACAATCATAAACATTGGGTTTGTTTTGTCAGAAAGCACAGAGAAATATGCATATAAAAAAGCATTTGTGGTGCCTTTTAGACTGGGTGAAAATAATAAGCCCTGAAATCAGTTCTAAAGCCATAAATCAATGCCCCACAGCAACTAGCTAAAGACTATCAATGTATTTTTTAATTAAACTTTAATTACATTCTCTTTCTTTATTCTTTCATTTGTATCATCAGTTCCAGAAAAGTAACAGCCCAATGTATCATCAGATGAGACCAATTCTAACTGTCAAGATTTAGCTGCAGCTGTATTGTGTAGATTGTTTTGGTACTGTATCCATTCAAAAAGATGACCAAACCACTTCCCACTATGATGATTCATTTAAGATATGCAAAATAGCTGTTTATTTCTAGATGAAAAGCAAGCTTCTAATGAACTGTGAATTTGGTGATGTGTCCCAAATTATTAGACTTCTTTTTTCCAATCAGGTAATTTAAGTTTTCCTTGTGTTGAACAATTACATTGCCATGCAATTTATTTCTGCCCATAGCCTCTACATAGCAACTGCTACTTTGCTCTTGCATTTGACACAAGAACATTTGCTATATCGTGTTTTTCCATCAGCATGAGCCAGCAGCTTTAGTTGTGCTGAGTCAGGTGGGCATAAATTGGCCTCTGTTTCCATCTGTTCCTAGCAGCAGGGAGTGATCGTGCTGACTCAGGCTCGGCCACCCCTGCTTCTGCCCAGGTCCGAGTGGGGCCAAGCTCTGCCTTTAACAGAGCTGGGGGCTGGAGCCAATCCCAGCTGACATTGAACGAGAGGCGGACACCCTGGACAGGTCGCCAGTCTATCACAGGGTTGCCAATCAACCTTTGGACTGTGAGAGGAAGCTGAAGTACTGCATTTGATTGTGGCCTTTGTCAGACAAGTGTATTTTCCAAGATGGCGCCACTGTTCATGGCTTGCCGTCAGCCTCTCCGGTGTATGTTACTGTTTTCACTGTTTATGCTGTCTCTGTCCACTGTCATTCGGAATGCATCAGCTCTACTAATGTACGATCGTGCCGCCCTTCTTAATATTCGTTTGTCTATGGAAACGTGTCCCAGTGTAACAGGCTGGGATAACTCAAAGACTGTCCCACTATTACTGGCAAAGATACCAGCATATCTTCGGTGTTCTTACTTCATCTGCTCACAAAGGAAGCGTACCAGAAAACGAGGAAAGAGGAGCTGGGTGGCTGTCCCCCTAAAGGCCCTCTGCTTTTGCGGATGCCTCTGACCATCGCCGTGGACCCAACTGGTTTTGTTGTCATTCTAGTATGACTTGCTGGCCTGGCCTCTTATGTGGTTGGCTTCGGTCCATAGGCCTGAATTTCCCAGCCCCTCATCCATATCACCGACTTTCACGACATCTGAGAAGAGGTGTAAATTGGTCTGATCTTCGACCGCTCAGACATGCGTCTCAGCCACCGAACCCTGTTTTATCAATTCAGATGGGTTTGATTAATGCTAGATCATTGGCTAACAAGACATTCATTCTGAATGACTTTTTTATATCGCGGTAACTGGATTTTATATTGCTGACTGAGACTTGGTAAAAGGAAGGTGAGCATTGTGTATTTTCTGAGCTTCTTCCACCTGGTTGTTCCTTCTTCATCTCCCCCCCGTACGACGGTCGAGGCAGTGGCCTGTCATGTGTTTTTAAAAACAGTTTTCTATGTTGCCAGCTGAAAGTGGACACTTATTCAAGTTTTGAACTACAGCTGTTTGTGATAGAACTCTCTCAACCACTGCTGTATGTAGTGGTTTATCGTCCTCCTAAATTTAATAAGGACTTTATTCAGTAGTTCTCTGATCTCCTGGGTTTTATCTTGCCAAAGTTTGATAGGCTTTTAATCCTTGGTGATTTTAACATTCATATATGTTGCCCAACTGACCCTTTGTTTAAAGACTTTTTAAGTATTATTGACTCTTTTAACCTCACTCAGTCGGTGCATAGCCCTACACATGAGCTCAGACATACACTGAACCTTGTGATCTCCCATGGGCTGCCTGTTTTTATTACCGAAGTATGCAACTTGATTCTCCGATCATTTCCCTGTGTTATTCAAAGTTAATGTGCCGCCACTGTTTGACAAACCTTCTGTTCCTGCTGGTACCAGATGTACAATCACCTCATCAACAACAGGAGAATTTTCTACTTGCTTTAAAAATTCCGGTCTGTATCTGATGGGGGATGTGTCCTCCTACATAGATCCTGAGGAAGTATTAAGTCTTAACCTCCACCAGTCAGGATATATCAGAATCAGAATCTGCTTTATTGGCCAGGTGTGTCGGACACACGAGAAATTTTTGACTCTGGTACATTGGCTCTCAATGTGTATATACTTATCTTGGATATATACTGTATTCCACTGCTCCCCTCCAATGTAGACCGGCTAAGCCAAATGTGGAACCTTAACTTGCGAACATAGACGATGTCATAAAGCTGAAATTATTTTACTAACAAAAGTTATCTTTACAAAGGAAGATGAGTTTTCATTTTAAACAAACATTTTTATTTTGTTAATGTAATTATTTATTGAAGTGGCACAGTTAAGAAAGGCTGTGTTGTGTTAAATCTCTTTTATCTTGTTGAACCACCAAAAATGTACTTTGCCCACCAAATATGGGGGCTTTGTGGCCCATGGGGCCAGTGCTTAAAAATATTTGCGTCTATCCCTGGGTACTGTAAATAACTGTCTGTAAAAAGTTCATAAAATGCTGTGGAGGTTTAAATCCTAAAAGATGAGGCCTTAACAAGCTTGTTTGTTTGGCAATAATTCCTAGATTTTAGTTAAAAAAATAAATGGCTGATAAATATAACAGACAGTTTAAATAGAACATAACAGTACATATCATCTGCTGGTTCCGCTCAGCCATGTTGGGTGTCATAAGAAACTAGAGGCACTACTCTTTCCATTGCCACCAAGCATAGCACAGCTTGAGCTAACCAGCTCACACCAGCCCCATAGCAAACACGCAGCCCAGCTTCATATTTTACTGTCAACGTGTCAAATTTTGTGTTTATTAGAGATGGGTCCAATCCAATCCTATATCGGTATCGGGTCCGATATTGACATAATTCATTCATCGGATATCAGACAGGCAGGGCAGATCTTTACTCATGTCCACAGCTTACACTAAGCAATGAACCCGCCATAATCTAACATAAGATGAGACACATCATCGATCCGGATTCCATCCTAATTCTTACCATAAATCTGTGGCAACTTCAACCCCTAACCTACTGAGCAAATAAAATCAGCTGCTGGTTTGACTAAAATAATAATAAGCAGCATTTATTTAGCACTTTACAACTCAGAAGGGCCCAAAGTGCTGCACAGTATAGACATATCTATCGACTAAAACAATACTAAAACAAATAAAACAATACTAAACAGTCAACAAGATAATCACAGAACATAAAACAACATGTAGACAATGCCATTTAGAGGCAGATAAAACAGATTAAAGATCAAAAGCCTGTTTAAAAAGGTGCATTTTTAATGCGGATTTAAAAACCGCTAGCTCGGTGATAGACCGAATCTCAAGCGGTAGCGAGTTCCAAAGTCTGGGGCCATGAACAGAAAGCATGCGGTCACCCCATTTTTTGGATCGGGACCGTGGAACCACTGGGGACAGGTTATTAGAAGAGCGCAGGGCTCTACGAGGAACATAGATAGATAAAAGTTCAGAGTGGAGCAAGGCCATGTAAGGCTTTGAACACATAAGAATCTTGAACTAAACTCTAAAATGTACAGGCAGCCACTGTAATGTGAGAAGAACAGGGGTAATATGGGCATACCTGGGAGTGTTGGACAGAAGCCGAGCTGTGGCATTTTGGACCAGTTGAAGTTTCCTCAGCAACAACTGAGATGCACCAACGTAAAGGGCATTACAATAGTCCAATCGCAAAGTAACAAAAAAATGGATCACCTTTTCTAAGTTTCCTCGGGATAAAAAAGTCTTAACCTTCGTTAAAAGTCTGAAGTGAAAGAAACTGGTCTTGACAATGACTCTGCTTGAAAAGGAAATTATAAAGATAGTGAATAAATGTGGTAACAAAACATCTAGTGATAGTGATGGTATCACTATGACAACTGTTAAATGGGTAATTGAGGGGATATGCAAACCATTAACCCATGTTTTTAACATGTCGTTTCGACTTGGGCAGTTCCCCAATAATATGAAAATAGCAAAGGTTATTCCACTGTATAAATCTGGTGAGCACAACTTCACAAATTATAGACCGGTTTCTCTGTTGTCACAATTTTCAAAAATCCTGGAAGAACTCTTTAATAACAGATTAGACACATTTATTGACAAACATAAAATCCTTTCTGATTGCCGATATGGTTTTAGGTCGAACCGATCGACATCTTTGGCCATTACCGACCTGATGGAGGACATTACAAGTGCTATGGATGAGAAGAAATACACGGTGGGAATATTTATTGACCTAAAAAAAGCATTTGACACAATCAATCATGA